CTGTAGGACTCCCCTGCTGCACCTCGGTAGCAGCTCCCGGGAGACTTCTTCCCACAACTCCTGGTGCAGCTCCAGCCACTGCTGCTGCTCCGTTTTCGTTCTGTGCGCCATTTAGTCCTCATGGACCCTCCCTTGCTCACGCGGTCTCAAAATAAGTAAATAAACATTAAAACAAAAATCACTGTGCCATAGTGGCACATTTTGGAGCAGCCTGCCCTTGTCCCCTGTGGAACACAGTATGTGCTCAATAAATATTTGTTGATTATTAAACAAAATCAATAATAGGTAAAAAGTCTTTGGCATCATAGAACTTACTCTCACAGAATTAAAGTGGGTTGGAACCTGGAGAATGGGAGGTACCCGAGAGCGAGAAGCTCTTGATGAGGCTGTCCAATAAATAGGAATATAATGTGATGCACCCATGTAAAGTTTTCTAGTAACCACAGTAAAAAAAGACCGGTGAAACTAATTTCAGTAATATATTTTATTTAAACCAGTATACCCAAAATATTAACATCTAATAATATAAAAATTAACCAAATATCTTTCATTTTCATACTAAAATCTTTGAAAGCTGTATTCCTACTTATTGCACATCTCAATTCAGGTATTATATTTTCATTGAAAATACTTGATCTATACTGAGATTATACAAAATTTAAAATGCTAAAAGTAGATCCACATATCCAAATATACTTTAAATATATCTAAAGGTTTTCCAATAACTGAATTATGTTTTAAAATTTAATTAAAATAATATAAAATTAAGATTGCAGTTCCTTAGTTGCATAGCATACGCACTTGGTGGCTACTACAGCGGGCAGTGAAGATCTCAATCAGAAAGTCTACTCATGATAGGCCAGGGGGTAAAGGAGAGGGTAGCACCACACGTATGCCAGGGAGGGAAGTGTGCATTCTTAAATGCAGTGTAAGCTCTTTACGCAAGTCACACTGGAGGGCAGATTCCTCTGGTCCTCAACACTGAGGTATGGGTTTCTAAAGCAGACTAATTCTTTAGCATGATTGCTGTTTAGATTTTAGGTTCTGCGGGAATCATTTTTTAGGGGTGGGAAAAGGGTCTAGCAATGCTGGTCACATGTACCATCTCTAAGTAGAATCTTACTGTGTCTGATTAAGAACAGTCCTGGAAATCAGATTATTTTCCTACAGATCAGCTGTTCTCAACTGGGGGCAATCTGACCCCTCAAGGGGGCATTTGCTCACCCACCTGTTTTTTTTTTTGCTTGTCACAAGTAGGGGGTGCTAGTAGCATCCTGTGGGTGGAAGCCAGGGAAAATCCTACAGTGCAGGGGACAGGGTACCACAGGGAACGGTCTGGCTGAAAATGTCAATACAAGCCTGAGAAACCTTGCCCTAGAGAATCTGGGTAAGAAAGACTGAGAACCTTAGTATAAGCAACTCTCTTGTGGGATCAGTAATGGGAGAGCAGTTTGTTTTGTTCAAGTATTTCAAACTTTCTAGTTGTGTTTTCATTATTGGACTTTCTGATTATAGATAATTTCATACTCAGGAAGAGAATGGAGACCTGGTCGATAAATGGTATGCACTGTGCTCCTAAGACTCAATGTACCTTCGTATGGCTTGTATCGTACCACCCAGGCTCAAATGTGACCAATGCCAGTATTAGATTACTCGCCGCTCTCTTGTTCCTATCACCATCTCCTATTTGATATTTGTTCTTTTCCCTACACCCTTGCTCCTTTTTATTCTCTTCCTTCCATCCCTCTCCCTGATCTTATTTCTCCCTTTTCACTGATGCCCATCCATTCCTCCTGGAACCCCACCTCCCCTGCACTTGTCCATTTCCTCCCCTCAAAGCTGCTGGCTCCTCATTCAAAATCCCCAGTTCACCACCACCCCCATCTGTGGCTGAGAGAGCTGCACCCCCCCCAACCTCCGTTTAGGGGCCTTGGACAATCACAGCTGTCTTGTCAGTTCACAAAAGCTTCAGACTACAATCCTCACCACTTTCAAAAAAAAAAAAAAAAAACCCTATAAACAAAATAAAATACAATCATTCTCTCTTGAAAAAGATGGGAGGAGCAACGCACATGCTTCTGAGGTAACCAAGAACCTGGGCTCCTCTAGATCAGGTGCTGCGCATGGAGGGTGGCGGGTGGCTCCACAGGGACCCAGTGGTTCTGATTAGTGTCTAGCAGATAACTTCTCTTCTGCTAACTTTGGGCTTGAACACAGCTCTTCTTCCAACTGGTTGCACCCTCACCATCTGTCTCTTCAGGCTTCTGCACTTACTGGGACAATGCGTTTCTTCATGGTACCAGCAACTCAGATCTCCTCTAACTTCACGCTCCTGTGCCTTATGCCTGGGTTATCCCAGGTTCTGCTGGCCTTTCTTCTCTTGCTGCAGCACTCTAGGCTGTCTCTGGCCCCTTACATTTGTCTCTCCTGGACTCTTATGGTCCCTCTGTCAGTATCAGGTGGTGGACACTGCAGTGGCAATTTGGAATCAACACCAAACCTAGAAAAGGGTAGCATGGTGTCAGTGCTCCAAACTAGTCTTCACTCAGCCTTTAAAGGTATCCAACTCTAAGACTAGGACAATTCTTTGTACTAACAGGTATTCACAACTATCTGAATAGAATGTTCTAGCATATAGAGGATAAAGGAAAACCAGTCTGTCATGTCTTTACCAACTTTAAGAGCCCTAATGGTGTGGCAGCCAGGATCATCTTTCTTCCCACTGCAGAAGCCTCTCTAAATTCAAGGTCAGGATCTGCCGACAACTCCCGTGCACGTGTCTCAGCAAGACAAAAGGTAAAGGGGGAAGCTTCACTCAGTAAGCATTTAACTTTATTTTCAAAATAAGACATTTTTAATACTAGAGATTTAATGCTTTACTTTTCTCTTAGGACCATTAAAAAATCTTTTGTTTCAAATGCCTAAAATATTGCCCAGATAATTATTATAAAAACAAGTAGGAGTGTGAAGCTTGAGGTTTTAAAATTTTCTACCAAGTATGTTCAAAAGACGTAAAAGCCCAGTTTATCTTGATGGAGCTACAAGGAATGGCCTAAGATTCATCTCCCAGTGGGAGTAGAGACCCAAAACTGACTGTGGTGGTTTAACTAGTCGAGCACAATACAAAAGCAAGGATGTCTGACTATTGTCTTCAGGAAGAGATTCGGTCACTGCCTGGTTGTTCTGGGAAGGCTATTCCTAAACCCAGTGGGCATGGCAGTTGAATGGTGTAACTCTGAATGCGCTGGGCCTCTGGCCACAATTTCTGTCATGTCATTAAAATTCTCAAATTAGGGATGTAAAACTGTTCCAAGTACATGAACTGCTAATATATTTCCAAGCCAGAAAGAAAAAAATTGATTATAATTTAGCCTTTTAATTTAGATTAGGTTACTGTATTTACTTTAATAGTCCTCAATCCTCCAATTATAATATACTCTTCTGCTAAGGCTGAAAAGGTGCTATAAAGTTATTACTAAATTACTTTCTTAGGGTGTTTGCATTTTATCTGTTGCTATTGCAGCCTCCTCAGGTATCTCTTTTACTACCTTCCTGAACTCAGAATCACAGGACGTCAAAGCTGGAAGATACCTTACCAGTGATTGATTAGGACAGCAATGTCCTTTAGAACTTTCTGCAGATAAAAATGGTCTATATCTGTGTTGTCCAATCCAGGTGCTACTAGCCACACGTGGCTGTTGAGTACTTAAAATGTCACTAACGAACAGAACTTTCTATTTTATTTCAGTTAATTTAAGTTTATACAGCCATGTGTGGGTGACTGGCTACTATACTGGACAATACAGTTCTAGACCGATCCCTCCCATGTCCTTCAGTTTACAGTGACGGGACACTCAGGAGTGATTTATCCACATTATAGATGCCTAATACACCATCACCCCCCTCCTTCCCAAGAGCTCCTACTCATCACTTAACTACTTTCCTTTCCACTGGAATGTCTTCCTTAGCCTGCTATCTTTCCTGATGGTTTCCTCTTTTTCAGCAATGGCAAACAAATTCCACAAAATGACTGTACTCCCTACTTTAAGATAAAAATGAGATTAATATTTAGGCCATTCTAGCAGTAGTGGTGGAAAACAAATAGTATTTAGTTATTAATTTCAAAAGCAGCTTTAACACAATATATCTGGTAGGTTTCTGCTGTGTCATCTGCATGCTATGGAATGGGAAACGAAGGCAGAGAAAAATGTGAATGTTTAGGGGCACACAAGAGGCTCAGTTGGTTGAGTGTGTGATTCTTGATTTCGGCTCAGGTCGTGATCTCATGGTTCATGAGTTCGAGTCCTACGTCGGGCTCTGCACTGACAGCACAGAACCTGCTTGGGAGTCTCTCTCTCTGCGCCTTCACACTTGTGTGCACCTGCTTGGGATCTCTGTTTCTCTCAAAGTAAATAAACTTAAAAAGAAAGTGGGGGGCGCCTGGGTGGCTCAGTCGGTTAAGCGGCCGACTTCGGCTCAGGTCATGATCTCGCGGTCCGTGAGTTCGAGCCCCGCGTCGGGCTCTGTGCTGACAGCTCAGAGCCTGGAGCCTGTTTCCACTTCTGTGTCTCCCTCTCTCTGACCCTCCCCCGTTCATGCTCTGTCTCTCTCTGTCTCAAAAATAAGTAAAAACATTAAAAAAAAAAAATTAAAAAAAAAAAAAAGAAAGTGAATGTTTGCCCAAAGTTGTACACTGAATGGTCAAGTAACAAGGAGAGCTGAGAAGTAGCATTCGCTGCCTTTCCACCAAGAAAATGGCTATTTTGGGCTGCAAGTCAGCAGTATGTCAACAGACAAGGCTTTCTGAAATAACTCTTAACTCTTCCCAAGAAACTGAACTAATTTAGAAATAAAAGGAAACTTTTTCAGGTAGATTCTCTGGTGCCAGAGAAATGTTTTAATGACTGAAGCTTTGCCTGCATTCAGGTTACTCAGTGTCTAAGGCGGATTCTCTGGGAACTAATGAGGCCTGAGGAGCTAAGAACTGTTCCTTCACCATCTTAGTAGAGCTTATTGGCTGTATGAATTCTCTGATGTCTGATAAGGGCCGAACTCACGCGGAAGGGCCTCCCGCACTCCTCACATTCATAGGGTTTTTCACCCGTGTGGATTCTCTGGTGCTGAATAAGACCTGTGCGCCCACTAAAATCTTTCCCGCATTCTTCACATTTATAAGGTTTCACTCCAGTGTGTACTCTGTGATGTCCGAGGAGATGGGAGCGCTGAATGAAGGCCTTCCCACATTCGTCGCACTTGTAGGGTTTCTCTCCAGTGTGAGTCCTCCTGTGTTTGCTGAGGTCTGAGCTGTGACTGAAACTCTTCCCGCAGTCCTCGCACGTGTAGCGCCTTCTTTCCCTCTGCGGCCACTCCACTCTGCCCTTGCTTTCAGTAGCATCTCTGGGTTCAGGAGGCAGAGGAATGTCTTTGTTAAGTCCGTCATTTACCTTGCCAAGGAACTGTGTGTCCTTGGGCGTATCTTCCTTCTGGGACAACACTTCATTCTTAGTGCTGGCTTCATCACCTGTAACCAAACACAAAGGTGTCCTAATCTAAGTTTGAGAAAGAACACATGAACGCTCTAAATGTGTTATAAAAGTCACATACAATGCACAAACCAGAGATTTGGCACCATCAAATCATACCGACGATATAAGGAAGAAATTAAGAGGCGAGCGGGGAAGCCGGTGGCAGGGTTATTTGGGAAGAGAGTAAGAAGAGAGAAGGCAGTGATGTGGATTGAAGGGTCACCTGGCAATCTCGTGCACAGGCAGAGTGCTGAGCGGTAAATGAGGACTACTGATATGCTGGGGATAACGAAGACGGACAGACAGGGGGTCAGAGAACAGACGGGGAGGGAGCTGAGAGTTTGGGAGAAACACATCAGGGCCTGAAACATAGGTGGTTAAGTGGGAGAAGATAGTGGGATTAGGGATCTGAACTGAATGTAGTGAGTAGGAACCATCAGAGAAAGGAACCGTATGAAGGATAATAATCAGTTAAAAGCAGGTTGAAAGCATGCAGGGCAGGATAAATAGAGGAAGTGACAATGGATGGTCTGGTGTGTGTCCACACTCTGATCTCCAGTGCCAGCCCTGAAACGTGATTTGCATCAGAATCACATGGATGGTTTCTTAAACCAGAATACTAGGCTTCCCACTCAGCTTTGATAAAGCTGGAGTAGAGCTCAAAAATTTGCATTTCTAACAAGTTTCCTGGTGGGAGAGATACTACGGATTCAGGGACCACATTTTGAGAACCAAAGGCGTAGGTATTTTTCAAGGTCCAACTCAAATACTCTCTCCTCCAGGAAGTCTTCCCTAAATCTCCCAAATTGGCTCTTTTCCCTCTTCCTGATCACTATGTCCTCAACCTCATGCTTTGCATACAATAGTACACAATAGCAAGTACTCAGTAAATATTTGAGTTGAACTTTGTAAGAAAATAGCTGTTTTGATGATTTGGAGGGGGTAGAAAGTGTCACCTATTCAGTCATGCTGTGACTACCATCTCAATGAACCTAGGAATCCTAACAGTGCAGCTGTCATTTAGTTAGTCCTCAGGGGCTCACTTGGCCTGAAGGAAGCAGCAGCAAGAGCTCCCAGGGCATCTCAGTGCCTGGGTAGGGCTGGAAACTCTGGCTCACTGATGCCAAGCCACAAAGCCCACTCTTCACTGTCCTCACCGTGTCCCCCTTGCTCCCAATCGTACTCAGATCTGTTCCTCCTGAAAAATCACTTTTTAAAACCAGGCAGTAGACTTTCTCAAAGTTTGGATATTTGCTCGAAGATGATACTGTTTTGGAATGTAAATGCCATGTTATCCTTGGCTAGAAATTACAAGGACTAAATTAGAACCAGAGGATCAAGATTCCAGTCCTGGAACTGATCAATGTTTAAATTCTGGCAGGTGATGACTATTTTGGTTTCCTTCTCACCTCTGTGCCTTCTTTACCCATTGTTTGATCAGATGAGGGAAGATAGGATGAAGCATGTGTAAAAGTATAACATGTGACAGAAGTATTGCTAGGTTAGCAGGCTAAGAGTGATCAAGCAAATCATGGAAATCAGAGACACCTCCTACCATGAAAAGAAGTATTCTGAAACATCAGCATTAGCCTCAACAGCTTTTTTTTTTTTTTTTTCAACGTTTATTTATTTTAGGGACAGAGAGAGACAGAGCTATGAACGGGCGAGAGCAGAGAAGGGAGACACAGAATCGAACAGGCTCAGGCTCTTGAGCCATCAGCCCAGAGCCCTGAGGCATGGGGCACCAACTCGACGGATCCATGGAACGTGACCTGGCTGAAGTCGGACGCTTAACCGACTGCACCACCCAGGCGCCCCAACAGCTTCTTTACATATAGCTGTCACCAGGGGCTGGCTTTCCCGGGGCTTACTGATGAATATTAACAACAACAAAAGACAGAGTTTGCCCTAAATAGTCAGTTCACCATCTTCAGTGTAATCTACCAGTCCTCAGGATAAGTCTCTCCCACAGCTTTGGGAGAAATCCAGAGAAAAATCTCATCAGGACTTCAAAAGGTTTTTTTGTCTTTTTTTTTTAATACAAGGTCAGCTTTTTTTTGGTCAGCAACTGAAATTATAATCCTCTCCCTTAGATCTGCAACTGAACAATATAAAGAATATCGTATGAACATTGTCAAATGTGAGTTTTTTCATCTCATGGACCTCAGTCTACTTCTTGGTCAGCTGGAATTCAGGGTCTTGTTTATGTATCTCTACTAAGTGTTAGTCTCAGGCTAATACGATTCCAAGAGACCTTTTTTCAGAACGGACAAAATGAAAAATACTGGGTTCTGACATCTGCCAGGGCTGTCCTTCCAATGTTATTTTGGCATGTGTAATACCTAGAGTCCCTATCAGTTACAATTTGAGATTCACCCAGCCCTGCTGGTCACTGAGAGGAGATGTCCACAAAGCTCATTTGATCACCATGCGTACAGCTTGCTTGACAGTCTGGGGAGAAAGAACAAGGTTAAATGCTGAGTGAAACTGGAACAAACTGTCATTTCTTGCTAATGGAGAGTCAGTGCTGTAAGTTAATAGCATGCCCAGTACTTCAAAATGAAATACTTTAAAAATGTGTTACAAAGAGGGGCACCTGGGTGGCTCAGTCGGTTAAGTGTCCCACTTCAGCTCAGGTCACGATCTCACAGTTCATGGGTTCAAGCCCCACGTCGGGCTCTGTGCTGACAGCCTGGAGCCTGGAGCCTGCTTTGGATTCTGTGTCTCCCTCTCTGTCGACCCCTCTCCTGCTCACGCTCTGTTTCTCTCAAAAATAAATAAACATTAAAAAAAAGTCTCTCTGTTTAACAATAAATTATTTTTATTTTTTTAATTTTTTTTTTTAACCTTTATTTATTTTTGAGACAGAGAGAGACAGAGCATGAACAGGGGAGGGGCAGAGAGAGGGAGACATAGAATCGGAAACAGGCTCCAGGCTCTGAGCCATCAGCCCAGAGCCTGACGCGGGGCTCGAACTCATGGACCGCGCGATCGTGACCTGGCTGAAGCCGGACGCTTAACCGACTGCGCCACCCAGGCGCCCCTAAAGCGTTTATTTTAAGAGAGAGAGAGAGAGAGAGAGCGTGAGCGAGCATGAGCAGGGGACAGGGGCAGAGAGAGAGAATCCCAAACAGGCTCTGAGCCCTGAGCAGTGCTTGATCCCATGAACTATGAGATCATGACCTGAGCTAAAATCAAGAGTTGGGACGCGTAACTGACCTAGCCACCCAGGTGCCCCAGAAATGTAAGGTGTTATTAACTTGAGTGAGTATGTAAATTCCATCCCCCATCCACTGAGCCAAGTAGCAGCTTTTAAGTGTAATGAAAAAGTAAATTTTCATAATTCTTTCCACGACAAGGCAACACTAGGAAGGGCGGTAAAATCTTCCAGAGTGAGGTGGAGGATAAACAGGAAAACTCGAAAAGGAGAAGATCCGAGTGAGAAAGTTCCTGTCCAACACAAGGAACCACATCTTCCCTCACATAAAGTCTTGCTCCTTACCATTCCTCTGGGGATCCCCAGATTCCTGTTCCTCCTGGATCTTCTCGGGATGGAGCCGGACAGTCAGTGACTCATGGGGCCTTCCCAAGGGGGCCAACTTGTCCAAGAGCGTGTCCTGTCTTTCTGAATTGGCTGGGACCTGGAGACAATGAAACATTGACTGGGCTGGTAAAAGGCAGATTTTGTGAAAGAACTTAAAGACCTTTAGAGAAAAGATCAAAAGAAGCATTTGCCAGGGACAGGAACACAAAAGGGAAAAATTCTCATTCAATTGCAAATGGCAACAAATGACTAATCTCTGTACTTCAGGCCACTGGAGAGGGAAATTCTCACAAGGACCCGCAGAAGTGCAGGATCACAATCTTGGGATTTCGAGAGAATCTTAAAAATTATCTAGCCCAACTTCCACCAAACAGGGGCACTTCTCTAACTCCTTTGTCCAATATGATAGCCACAAGCGCAACGTGCTTACTGAGCACCTGACATGTAGTTAGCAGGAACTGAGATATGCAAAGGGTAAAATACACAATGAATTTTGAAAGTAATACAAAAAAGAATGTAAAATAGCTCATTTTTTATAGTATCTACATGATTACTTTGGGATAAGTATATATATTATTAAATATAAGATTACATATATGTGAAAGTGTATATATATGTGTGTGTATATACATATATATACACACACATACACACACATATATATATATGTATACACACACACACATATACATATACACGGTTTTTTAGTATTTATTTTTGAGAAAGAGACAGTGTGAGCCGGGGAGGGGCAGAGAGACGGAGACAGAATCTGAAGCAGGCTCCGATGCTCTAAGTCACCAACCAGGTTATTTATTATGACCTGAGCCAAAGTCGGATGCTTAACTGACTGAGCCACCCGGCATCCCGCTTTGGGTTAAATATATTTAATTTCACTTGGTTTCATTTTTTAAAATGTAGCTACTAGAAAACTTTAACTACACATGTGGCTCACAGTATAATTCTATTGGACAGTGCTGTTCTGTAACATTCTTGACATCTACTTGAACCCACCTTAACTATTTTCCTATGAAAAGAGAGGGTTTTCTCATTTTTAAAAAAATTTTATTACCAGGTAGCCCATTTCTTAATAGTTAGCTGTGAATTTTGGAGACTTCTTTACCTCTGATACCTATTTGCCTTTCAAACTGATTCGGAATCCGTCCCCAGCGTCTTTACTGAACTACACTTGAGCTATTCGACATCGGCAGCCAGGTCCCTCCCTAAGCCTTGTTCTCCTCTAGGATAACATATGCAATACCTTCAGGTGTCCTTTCCCATGCCTTTTCTGCTTTGGCTCGGTCCATACACCCTCATCTCTCACAGCCTGGGCACTGTCCCCTTCCCACCTGCTTCTGAGGCTCATCCAGCTCTCTCTCCAGGTCCTCCAGCACGCTCACCGCCTCCTCCCCAGTGTTTGGATGGTGCGCCTGCACCCACTGCTGCAGGTCCCTGGGAAGAATGCTCAGGAACTGCTCCAGCACCAGCAGGTCTAAAATCTGCTCCTTGGTGTGGCACTCCGGCCTCAGCCACCGGCGGCACAGCTCCCACAGCCGGGTGAGAGCCTCCCTGGGCCCGGGTGCATCCCGATAGCAGAGCCTCCTGAAGTGCTGCCGGAACACTTCCCTCTTGCGGGGGCTGTAGTTTTGTGGGCCGGGGTCCCGTCCCCGGTAACGGTCTTCTGCCTTCACTACCCCAAGTCCTCTTTGTCCCTCGGGTCCCAGGGCTGCGGCCATTCTGGGCTGTGCTGGAGGATAATCGTCTCTGGGGCGGATTCAAGGCCGGTCTCTGGGAAGCTTGTTTCGGAGAGAAAGTTGGAGGCGGAGAAACGACGGAAGGTGCAGCGAGCGCAAAGCCACGACGCTACCCCGGGCGGCCGGCGCCCTCGAAGGCTGCGCGGACGCGCACCGAGCGGGGCTGTCCCCTCTCCGGGGCTCCGGGGCAGCGGACGCTGCTTACGCAGCCCGGAGCCACAGGTGCTCACCTGCACGAAGGTCGCGCTGCTCACCGGGTTGCGTACAGGTTACCCGGGAGCACGCACGGCGGCTGTACAGGCCGCCGCGAAACACACGCCGCTCGGGGCTCCACGGCTGTGGGGACCCGCCCGCCCCCGGCCCCTTCCCCGCACAGGACCCAGGAGCCAGGGCGGACTCACCTCGCCCACGCACACGCACAGGGACCACCACCGCGATCTCCCGGCAGCCCGGAACAAAGGCTGGAACCCGGCCGGCCAATGGCGTCGGCCACGGGCACTTCCGGCCGCTCTAGGCTGCCTTGCCTCTGTGGCGGCGGCCGCACCTCCAGCCCGCCTTCCGGGGAGGACCTGGCGGACCAGCGGGCCCTGAGGGGGGCCCGCGGCGCGTCCTGCCAGTGCTTTTTAGGTTCACTTATTAAATACGTGGTATGAAAAAACAATGCATTCACATCGTTCAGTATTTAAGAAGAGTGTTCTCCAGCATTTAGTTTGGCAGTGTTTTTCGGGACACGCACACGGGTGGGTAGACGCATCCGGCAGGTGCATGTTCCCCTCGCTTGTCTCCTCCTACCAACTAATACTGGAGATTGTTCATAAAGGGCTTCCTGCAGCCTCCGGCTTCCTTTTTTCTTTTCCTTTCCTTTCCTTTCTTTTCTTTTTTCCTTTCTTTTCTTTTCTTTTCTTTTCTCTTTTCCTCCTCTATTTAAGCAATTGCATTGTACTCAATTGGTCGTATGTGCCGTCGTTTATTAATAATTACCCCGTTGATAGTCATGTAGGTTGTTTCCAATCTTTTCTTTTACAAACGCTGCTGCAATAAGTTACTGTAAACATACTTCTGTCTCATGTGTAAGGTTATTTCCATAGTATATATTCCTAGAAGTAGAATTAGTGGAGTATAGAGGAAGGGTATTCGTACTTTTGTAACTGGTAACATTACCAGTCATGAAACCTACTAGAGATGTTCTGGTTTACCTATATTTGGCCATATAATCTTGTAAAATATTTCGATGTTTGCTAATCTCTTGGGTTAGAAATGCATCGTTGTTGGGTTCCCCCCCCCCCCCTTTCCCTTTCTTATACAAACCCTGATCATTCACCTACTATGCCTGGCACTGTTCTGGAAGCTGTAACTATAACAGAAGATAAGGCCCTTGCCTTCATGGATTTTATAATTTAGTGTCTGTGTGCTTGTACATATGAGGTAGGGAGGCAGGCAATAAAAAAAATGAGAAAAACGTATAGTGTATTAGATGGTGGATGTTACTGCTAAGCAGAAAATAAAGGAAATATGAAGTTTGGAGGGAGAAACAAGTAATGCAATTTTAAGTAGGGTGGACATGGAGGACCTCACTAGTACATTGGCATTTAAGCAAAGATTGAGGGAGATGGGTGAGTGTGTCATCAGGGTAAATTTGTTTCAGGGAGAGGATAGCAAATGCTCAGGCTGGAGTGGAGTGTGTTTGAAATATTCTAGGCACAGGGAGGAGGCTTATGTGTCCAAAACTAAGGGAAGAAAAGGGTGTTGGGAGTAGAGAGAGGGAGAGAAATGAGGGTCTTGGGTGAGTTCAAGGATCTTGCTTTTTACTCTTGGGAAGCCATTCAGAATTTCTGAGAAGAGGAGTAACATGTTCAGATACAGTTACTGAAAAGACTACCGTGTTAAAAATAAACTTGTAAGTGAAGGGGATTGGACGAGGGCAGAAGCAGGGAGATCCGTTCAAAAGCTATTACTACCTTGGAGTGGGGATGGTTCTGAGCATGGCATAAAACCCTAAAGACATATAACTGAAAACTCATAAAGGAAAAGACGAATGTAACTGGCGATGTTAAAATTTGCAATTTCAAATGAAGAAAATAAAAACTAAGCCAGAGTAACATATGCCAGCCATCTAAAAGACACAGGACTGATTTTCCTAAAACACACAGACCTCTTACACACACACACACACACACACACACACACACACACACACACACACACACACACACACACACACACACACACACACACAGAAAAATATCAACAAGCCAATAGAAAAATTGGCAAACTTAAGTAGACATTTATAGAACACAAATATTAATAGACAATAATATGAAAAGGAGCTCAAGTTCACAAAGAATTTAAATTAAAACAATAACAAACTTTTCTTAAATTGTTCAAATTACTAAAGACAGAAAGATTAGTCATATTCAGTATTGGAAAGTATGTGAAAATATAGGCATTCTTACTTTGTATATTTTTGGAAAGCAAGACTTTTTAAAATTACTACGTCCATACCTCCTGATGCAGCAACTGAGTTTCTTGGAATTATTCATGTAGAAATATTTACACAAATGTTCAAATATACACTAAGAAACATTGTTTATTTGAAGTGGGAAACCCAAATGTCCACATTTGGGAATTTAAATTTTTATATGCCCAATCTTTTTAAAGGCTAAAAACTCAAAGATACCAAAGGCATATTGAGTAAAAAAAGTAAGTTACAAAACAGTATATAATACTATTTTTACAGAATAATTGTGTTCTGTGATTATCACTTCAGGTAAACTTACAGGGAACCTGATTTTATACATTATATATTTCTGTAAAATGTAACTTTTTTATTAAAATTTTTAAAATTATATTTTATTAAACATTTTTTTAATGTTTATTTATTTTTGAGAGAATGAGAGAGACAGCGTGAGCAAGGGAGGGGCAGAGAGAGAGGGAGACACAGAATCCGAAGCAGGGTCCAGGCTCTGAGCTGTCAGCACAGGACTCGAATTCATGAACTGGGAGATCATGACCTGAGCTGAAGTCAGAGGCTTAACTGACTGAGCCACCCAGGTGCCCCAAAATGTAACATTTTAACAAAAGATTTTATCTTTAAGTAATCTCTACACCCAACATGGGGCTTGAACTCATGACCCTGAGATCAAGAGTTGTAGCTCCACCAACATAGCCAGGCAGGCATCCCTGTAAACTGTAACTTTCTACACAAACTTACTACTGCTGGTGTAACCAGGAAAGAATTATTTTAAAACATCATTCGTTCTTCACAACCTACAACTTTCCTGTTTGGGGAATGTCACCGATATCCCTTTTCTCTATGAAATTCTTTGGCTGGCAGGGTGTAATTCCTTTAAGATGAAGAACAGAGCCAATTTCCCTTTGCTTTGAAGGCAGATACAAGTGATGAAATACACCAGGGTGGGACATTTAGGAGATGCAGAAATGAGCAAATTCAAACTACAGAGGAAGCTCCACTATCCCCTGCTGCCCCCTTCAGTGAGTTTCTCCCTCCTTATCTAATGTATCAAATTCTCTCACTGGGTTCCAAACACAAACCCTGCTTCAGGTCCTGAACTTTTTTTTTTTTAACTTCTATCTTCCAAATTTACCACCGCACCTCCCCCGTCCCCCGAAAAAAAAACACCTCACAAAAACACTAGTAGATGGTTTTTTAAAAAATATTTTATTTATTATTTAATTAAATGTTTTTATTTAGTTTTGAGAGAAACAGAGAAAGCGAGCAGGGAGGGGCAGGGAGACAGAGGATCCGAAGCTGGCTCTGAGCTGACGGGAGAGAGCCCAATGCAGGGCTCGAACCCACGTACGGTGAGATCATGACCTGAGACAAAGTTGGATGCTTAACAACTGAGCCACCCAGGTGCCCCACAAGTACACTATTTCAAAATAACAGTATTTTATGGGTGTATATTTTCACTTGTTTTCATTATTTAAAAAGGGAGAAAATAAATGAACAAAATGATGTGGTAAAGAAAGAATTCTTGAGACATCTTCTGCACAAACAGGTGGTTTTATTATAGCACGGAGACTGGACCTGTGGGCAGGAAGAGCCACCCGGGGATTGTGAAGACAGACTGATTATCTACTTGGGAGTTCGGGGAGGTAAAGACAAAGGAAGTTTCCAAAGGGATTTTCATATATTAAAGAAGACTCAAAGGATCCAGCAGGTCAAGTTTTTCCCTCTAGTGAGAGGCATTAACATTGAAACAGTAGGGAGTTCCTGGAGAAATGTTACACCCTGCCTGCCTCAACTATTTGTCAATGGCTGCAGGCTATAAGGAAATTTAATTTTATCTACGTTTCCTTTTTGCCTTTGTTCCTCACATCACTGAGCATTCAAGGAATTAGAAAAAGAAACCCCCAAGTAAAAGTTTAGAAAAATAAAAAGAATTAGAAAATAGAAAAAGTGACATTAATAGATCCAAAAATTAACTATTTGTAAGTAAGCCCATTAAAAACAAAAAACCTATAGTAAATCCAATTGAGACAAAAAAAATTTTAAAATTGTAAATGACAAATAGCAGATGAAGAAGAAAGTATGCTATCAAAATTTTAAAAATCTTAATGATGGGGATTTTCTGGGAAAGAACTTTTAGTTCCAAAATTTATTCAAGAAGAAAAATCAGGGTGCCTGGGTAGCTGCTAGTTAAGCATCCGACTCTTGATTTCGACTCGGGTCATGATCTCACAGTTCTTGAGTTCAAGCCCTGAATCAGGCTCTGTGCTGACAGTGTGGAGCCTGCTTGGCATTCTCAGTCTCTCTCTCTCTCTCAAAATAAATAAACTTAAAAAAAAAAAGTAGTGGAAAAATCTAGGAGCACCTTGTTGGCTCAGTCAGTGGAGCATATGACTCTTGATCTCAGCAATGCAGTTTTGAGTCCCACGGTGGGTGTAGGGATTACTTAAAAAAAAAAAAAAGTAGAAAAACCTAAATAAACCAATCCTAAAGGAAATAATTGAAAAAGCTACCAAAGAATCATCTCCAGAAAGGCTCAATTCTGTAATATTTTAATTTTTAAAAAGTATTTACCACATGTGTATGATGAATTCTAATGTTTTCATCTGGAATATACAGAGTAGAAAGGTGAGAATCACTCCCTTTTCATGACCTAAATACACTGTTGATATTTTGTTATTTCCAATTTTTAATATTTTAAGACTGTTTTACATATTATATTTTAACAATACTTGTATAGGCTGTTTAACATTTAAACATAATAAAAACTTTTCATTTTATTATAAGCCCTTCGTAAGAATAAATCCTATCTACATACTGTTTAAGATAATAAATTGTACCTTACAGAAGAGTTGGGATTCTGACATGAGATACAAGATGCTGGACACAACTGGTGTTCCAACAAATAACAGCCATGATTGTCACAGTTTGCAAAGGACTTTTCATTTTGCCACATCATTTATTTAGTATAAAATGGGTACTGCTATCTCACAACGCACTTTTTCCTTTTTAGGAGGAATGGGCAAATCACCCGCTTCCCAGAGAGGCCAAGAATGTCTTCCTTCTCCTGGGGAGAGTCCTTCTGCTTGGCTGGCTTTGCTAAGAAGCTGTAGAACATGGCTTTTCCATAGGACACAGGAGTCCTGTGTCCCATCACCCAGAGGCCCACATAGGGCCCGGGTCGCGGTACAAACCACAGTGAGCTGAGATTGGGTACGGGTCTTTCATTATCAGGGATTTGACCTCCAAGGCATAGAAATGAAGGGTGGATTAATACTGAGGGCTTCAGCCTCCGGGTCTTCCACGTTTTCACTGCCTTTGCTTCCACTTCCTGTTTGCGGTTGGTTTTTCTTGTGTCTCTGACCTTTCTCTTTCCCTGTTCATCCCTGACCCTCCCTTATTCGTAGCTTTTTCTTCCCACTCTCCCATTTGGGCCTCATCCTCTCCCCACTCTCCCATTTGGGCCTCATTCCACGGCCTTGCCGTCCCTGTGGCTTCAGATCTTGAGCTTCTCTCCCTCAGCTGCACCTCTGCTTTGGGCCCTGAGCCTGTTCACTCCAACATTAGTGTTGACTCCCATCAGCATGCTGTTTTCATCTCACAGGAAGAACTAGTCTCCACAGGTCTGGCTAGAAGCCATCACAGTTGACTTTCAATAAGTACCTGTACATTCTGTCTAAGGAAAATTTTACCGTGGCTTTCCTCTACCTTCAGGTGCTCAAGTATACATTTTTAAATTTATTTATTTAAGTAAGCTTCATGCCCAGCGCAGTGCCCAAGAAGGGGCTTGAACTCCCTACCCTGAGATCAAGACCTGAGTGGAGATCAGGAGTCAGATGTCTAACTGACTAAGCCACCCAGGTGCTCCTTAAATCTTTCATAGTAAATCTTCAAGCTTTTGTTAGCAGAAAGCCTTTTCTTCAGAGAAAATCTTCTTGGGGGCCAGCGCCTAAAGCTAAAGGGCAGTGTTTTGGTGGCAAGGTGGTCCTGAGAAGCCCGGAGAGCAGGGCAGGGCTCACACAGGTAGGGGGAGCAGGGGGTGGTCAGGGAGCACAGGTCGCTGTGTGGTAGTGGACTGTGTCCATCTGCAGTGGGTGATAATCTGCTCCAGTCAACTCCTGGCTCGTGGGAAGGTGGCATCTAGTATTGCCACATCATGCGTTTTTGTAAGAGAATCTGGAAAGTCAGATTCGACGTGAAATCTCCAGATTTTTAAAAGTTGAAATAATTTCATGCTATCACAAAACATACTATGTGGGAAAAACGCACATGCAGGCCAAATACAGCGCCCTGGCCTGTTTGACATCTCTGGTGGAAGATATGAAAGGTCACCGGATGTGTGTGATCAACCCTCCTGCTCCATCCCATGGAACCTTCCTACCCACCCAAACGTTTATCCCAAATTACAAAGTGGTTTTTGTATTTAGGTTTTTAGTGTAGACAACCGATAGGCTGAGGTCTTTTATCAAGCTAACCAAAAATTCAGGATTTTTAAAAATGTAAATCAAGTAACTCTCAACTCACACTTCAGACAAGATCATCACTCCAACTCCAAAGAAAATAGGGAGGAAAGGAGGCAGGGGAGGGAATAGCAGCATCTCTACCACCCTGGGGACATATCTAACGGATTATAGAGATCTCCTGAGCCCCTGCTTCGAGGAGGAAAGTCTGAGGATGTGGAATGAGCCCCTCCAAGGTCCCAGGTCATCAGACGACATGCTTGTTTGGCAAGCTGTCAGGTGATTGCCTCTTTCAGCCTCCAGAAGTATTTTCAAATGACGGCGGAAACTGCAATGGTGATCACAGAATTCCCTACTTCTCCATCACGGAGACGTCCCTATCTGGCGTTCTGCAGGAAAGTGAGGATGGATAATTCTGCACCTTTGCTGACATCACCAGGGCTTCTCTACAATGTGGATTCGTTGATGTACCAGGAGGTGCGAGCTCCGCCGGAAAGCTTTCCCGCACACGTCACACTCATAGGGCTTCTCCCCAGTGTGGATCCTTCGATGTCCCAGAAGATGGGAGCTATAACTGAACGCCTTTCCGCACACGTCACACTCATAGGGCCTCTCTCCACTGTGGATTCGCTGGTGCCCAACCAGGGCTGAGCTGTGACTGAAGGCCTTTCCACACTCATCACATTCATACGGCTTCTCCCCACTGTGGATCCTGTGGTGATGGAAGAGGCCTGAGCTCTGGCTGAAGCTTTTCCCACACTCGCTGCACTGGTACGGCTTCTCCCCAGTGTGCACGCGCTGGTGCTGAATCAAGTGCGAGCTCAGACAGAAAGCCTTTCCACAGACGTGACACTGGTAGGGCTTCTCTCCCGTGTGGGTCCTCTGGTGCCGAACGAGGCCAGAGCTGTAGTGAAAGGCTTTCCCACACTCACCGCATTGGAAAGGTTTTTCTCCAGTGTGGGTCCTTTGATGCTGAACAAGGTGTGAACTGTAATAAAAGGCTTTTCCACACTCATCACACTGATACGGTTTTAATCGGTTATGTATTCTCTGATGGTCAATAAGTTGGGAACTCTGGATGAAAGTTTTGCCACACACGTTACATGAATAGGGTCTGTCTCCAGTGTGGATTCTCTTATGTCTAATGAGGCTTGAGTTTTGAGTGAATCTTCTCCCACACTCGTCACACTTATATCTTCTCTCGGTTGAAGAATTTCTCTGATATCTCTTTGTCTGTCCTTCATGTTCTTGGGTTTCTTCACAATGAGGGACTTTTCCGTTGATTTGGCCAGGTGACTTTTTTGGAGACTCTGTATCTATGGTAACCTCCTGCTTTTGAATCGATTCTCCTTTCTCAATTCCGATTACGTCATCTGAAACAAAAGGAGAGATTTCAAACATCACTGAAACATACAGGAAGTAAAATTAAACACATCTACTACAAGTACACAGCTTAATTCTACCAACACAATTGTTCCACACCATGTGAGGAAGACAGTGGGGGAAGGCAAAGGAAGAGGGACCAGCAGTGGCTGCACTGGCCAGGCATGGCTTGTGCAGACGGAGATGGTCAGTGGGGCGTAAGTCAACAACAGGAGAGGATCTGAGAGGACAGGGGGTTCCGAGGGAAGGCCAAAGTGGGGTTGAGATGGATGAAGGCACAGGGCTGTGAGAGGAGGGAAGCTGCCAGGGGGCCGGTGCTGATGTGGAGCTGAGAAGCAGCTCCATGCAGGGGGCCCTGAAGGCCCCTGGAGTACTGAAAAATGAGGGGTCAGAGCACAGAAAAGTATCCTATTTCCAAATACGCAGAACAAGCATGTCTGGACATATGGGGCACAATAGGATATTATCATGTGGGGACAGACAGAAACTGATGCGGCCCCAAAGACATGACTACTCTTCTTGCAAAGAGAAACCTGGGAGTCTGCCCTGATGAACATGGATGCAAAAATCCTCAAAAGATATTAGCCAACCGGATCCAACAATACATTAAAAAAAGTATTCACCGTGACCAAGCGGGATTTATACCTGGGATGCAGGGCTGGTTCAATATCCTCAAAACAATTAACGTGACTCGTCACATCAATAAAAGAAATGACAAGAACCATATGATCCTCTCAATACATGCAGAGAAAGCATTTGACAAAATACAGCATCCTTTCTGGATAAAAACCCTCAAGAAAGTAGGGATAGAAGGATCATACCTCGAGATCATAAAAGCCATATATGAAGGACCCAACGTTAATATCATCCAAATGGGAAAAACTG